TTCTTATAAATTTTAATTTCTTTAGCGATAATCTTATTAAGGCTAGATATATCGAGATTTAATTTACTATTATTATTAGAAATAATCTCTACGAGAATTCTACGAGATTTCTATAAATAGATATTTAAGTTTAAATAGAGGTATCTAACTATTAAACGTAGATACTCTCGAAATTAGACTTTTTTAGCTAAGTTACTAATAATAATATCTACGCTTTATTTTCGAGTTAATAATAGTTTAAAGAATCTAACTAGTTATCTCGAAGTAATACTAGTTATAATTAAGAGTAATATACTTAATTAATAAAATTTAAGAGTCGAGGGTTTAAGAACGCTTAAATCCCCTATTAAAAATTAGAAACTTAATTTTTTTAGAGGGTCGCTTAGGTAATAGTCACGTCGAAGGCGAGCTTCGAAGTCGAATATTTTCGAATAGAACGTCTTATTTCGATGAGGATATTTCGAATAGAACGTCTTATATAAATAAGATTTTCGAGTAAAATAGTTCTATTCCAATAAGAACATTTCGGGTAGAACGCCCTAGGGCAAAAAAGCTCTAGAAGTAGACGCTCGGGAAAGAAACTCCGAGGCTGGCCAAAAAACAGGCCTGAATTTGATTTGTGTACGCTAAGGCGGGGCTATAGGCCCGGAATACAGCTCTATTCCCATATTATATCGATGCGAAGGCGGGCTAAAGGCCTTTCACTTGATAGCCCCGTAGGCAGAAACCTTAGTAGCAATTTCAAGTCTCGTAATGGCGGGCATTTAGAAGTCTTCGGGGAGTAAACCCCGGAGCATAGGGCATATTGTTCTTAAAATCGTAGATCTTTCGGGGAAGAGTCCCCGAAACGTCGCGATTTTTATACTATCTTCGAAGCTCGAGGATAAGCCCCCTAGAGAGGGAGGCGTTGTTAGAAATAGTCCCTACGAAGGCCCTGAAGGCTCTACGGGCAGGTATTTAGATTTAAATAGAGGTGTCTAACTATCAAGCGTAGACACCCCCGAAATTAGCTTTTTTAGCTGAGTTGCTAATAATTATTTATATAAGTTTCTTTAGATATAAGAAGATCTTTATAGCTTTAATCGTTCGCTTTTTAAATCTTAAAATTATTTTAATTATTTTAAATATATATAGTAATAAAGGCGAGGTAATAAGTAAGAATAAAGTTAAATTTATAAGTAAGAGATAGTCGTAATAAATAAATAATATATATATATAAAGAGTTTTATTTAAATCTTTTTTTATATTTATATAAGTAAAGTAATTAATAGCTATTAAGTATATAAGAAAATAGTATATTATATAATTATAACTATTAATATTAATATCTTTTTTAATTATAATAATATATATATAAGCTAATTTAACGAGATTTTTAGTCTTAAAGATCTCGAAGAAGATTTATTTAAAGTATTTAATATTTATACTTCGAAATCTTTTAGTAATATTAAGAAAGAACTTCTTATCTTTTATATAACGAAATAAGATTTCTCTTCTTTTTTCTTAATTCGATTTAAAATTAAATAAGTTTAAATTCGATATATTTAAATAATAATAATAATAATTATAATTATAGCGGCGGTAATAATAACGTAACTTATAAATCTAACTCTTATAATAAACTCGACTTTTATAACGATAGCGATGATTTCGCTTTTTTTAAATCTTAAATAGCTAGATTATTAATTCTTTAAAATCTACTTTAATAGTAAATAAAGACGTTTTATCTATTTAATTTAGATTTATAATATTTAATAATATATTATATATAAGAATATTCTTATAGAAAGAAGATATTTTAGTCTTAATAGCCTTAAAAGTCTTTTTAATCTTAAGGGTCTTATTAATCTTATTAACTACGTTAGAGATCTTTTTAATAATTTTAAAGATAAAAATAATATATTTAACTATTTTTTTAAATCTAATAATAGTAGTAAAGGCTATTATAAAGTATATAAGAGTATAAAGTATATTTATAATAATTAAATAATACTTATAATAGTTAAATAAAGACTAATATATATAGATTTAACTATAAAAAAAAGAAGAAAAATAATATGACTCTGACAGAGATGAAATCGAATAAAGAGCCGTTGACAGGAGTGGAAATATTGGCGATGACGATCCGAGGTTTCGCTTTAGTCTGTAAAAGCCTTCATTCGATTCCGATAGGGACTCATATCGACTTCTTGGCACGGTATCGAAGTCGCTACCTCCATCAACATGTAAAGTCTTCTTCACTGGCCTTCAACATCACCACTCTGCTCGACAAGTTATTAGCTACTGAACAAGCCTTTCGAGGGACGACACTCTATCTAAGTTGTTCTCAACATCGAGATCCAGCCCCATGAAGCTTTGATTGTCCAATAGTTCGTGATGCTGGCGTTAGCAGGTCCGACATACGACCCCAGTTGCCTCGAACAAGGCCCCCATTTGTCCCAAAGGTCGGCACGGCAGATCAGGGATGCTAGGTCCGCTTGAAATGGGACTGCGGCTACCAAGGCGCGGATGATACCGGCTATGGCGGGGACGGAGTTTGACAAGACGGCTGATCTAGAACGCTGTGGGATAGTATAGAGGGTTGGCGCCTGGAGGTGTGGGTTTGATATGATTGGGACGGGATATGAATGAGACATATCAACAATACTGTTGGAACACGTGTTCGATGGTCTTTTGAGAGAAGAGTCAATGAAGGCTGAACGGAGGATAGCACGAGGTGTGAAAGTCAGGTACTGGGAGGGTTAATGGGATGAAAGCCGTAACATTAGACAGTCTGATAGAGTCTGTATGGGAAGAACCTGCGGTTATCATGTGTTCGCGTTGGCCGTTGCATTTAGCGACTAGCTCTGTGACACTTCGCGGCTTCTCGCAAACCGTGGATCAACGTTGCGATATGCGCTTAGGGGCAATACAAGTGGCACAGACTTAGTTCCCAACTTTACCTTCATTCTTTTGGTCGTTGTCCGTTCTATCCAGGTGCTGCAGGTAATTGGTAAAATTGCTCCAACATGAAATCCTGCTCAGTTTCAATGGCGGTTTCGCTCTACTCCTCCACCTCAATCCCATCGTACTGAACCCAAACCACACCGCCGTACAAGCTAGGTGAGCATATCGGATTTCCCTGTTCGCAGAACAAAAAGTTGATCAGGCAGTATGTCAAATCTTACCGCAAGACCCGACATTTCCGGTCTTCGCCCCAAAATTAACCTTCGATACGACAAAGCCCCTGTTCGTACTCGGTATCTACGGGCACATCCTTGCGCTTATGTCTACAAGGGGCTCAAGCAAGTTGGGAGGATTGGATCGTCCACAAGTACGTAATAGGCCTACCTGGGGGTACCGCCGTCAAGATTACCCTTACCCCTACAAAAACGACTGGACCACCAAAGAGACCTACTAGTCTGCAGAACGACTACGCGATCGTCAGTCTCTATGATCTCGGCATCGCGGTAGCCAAAAAGAATAAATTTTTACACCGCCAATTGTGACATTGTGGTCGTGGGCGTCAAGACTGGGAATATAAAGGTTGAGGAGCGGACGGAGGAGCGGACAGAGGAGCAGCAGGGTGCCCTCTTGGAACATGGTCTGACACTGGTAGATGGTCCGTTGAATTTGACAGATCTATCAATTCCTGCAAACCACGATTTAGCTGCGCTGCCCGTAGGCCCTCGTTCGTATTCGAAGGGGAATTTCAAAATCGAGTATGAGTATGACGGGGCGAGGATTTCCCCTACAGATATCTTCACCGCATGCCTAGACGGGTTTGCGACTAGTGCGCCGCACCCAAGCACAGACGTCGCCGCGGCTGTCAGTGCGCGAAGCCTCTCGAATGATTGCGCGATCAATGTGCGCGGGGTGGGCTTACCTTCGAGATTTACTTCGGATCATGTCATAAGGACGTTCAGTATATTGTTTCTCAATATCATGCTTGGACTGAGAGCTTTTGGTGAGATGAAATTTTCCATCTTTCTCGACAGCGCGCAGATTGGTACGGGATTCGTCCTCAAGCCGCAAAGGTTGGCGCAGAATAGCACAGAAAACATAACGAGTTCATAGTAAGAGGTGTCTGAGCATCGCTATGGTGCCATTTTCATATGCGTTGGCCGTGGTTCTCAAGTCGTCTGGCGCCGGCAACGAACTTCTTACTCAGCGATCGATGTGTTTTACTTGCGTCCACTTCGGTGGCCTAGCAATACTTGATCCAAGAAGCGGCCGCCGAATCAGGCTCACACATCTGCAAAGTCGCCCTCAGCAACTGAGCATATCTTCACCGGACTGTCGGTTTTTTCGATTTTTTCGCTTTATCTCCCTTTCCGAGGAAGGCACTGCGAATCGGCGTGTAATCCTCACTGAGGATGTCTTTCAATGCACCGTAGTTGACAAGCAGGGCCCAATTTCATTGACGCTGGAGATTGGGTATATGCACTCGTATGAGTATTGAAGACGCGCCATGTCGGCGATGGCAAGCTGCAGTGTGAGACATAGGGCTTTGCTGAAGAGGATGAAGGTTTTTGACGGTGTCGAGGGTGATGATCTTCTCTAAGAATGCATTTCTTTTGCCACGATGGATACTTTCGTTGTTGGGTAGCAGTGTCAATTGTTAGTTTGTGGGATGTTTATAGTCAGACTACAACAGTAGGAGTCGAGTTCTGGAGGCCCATGCTTGCGGACCTGGTCTGTGTTTAATGTAAGACAAGGTTATCGAGGGCATTGAAGAGGGTGTGAGAGACTTGCCTTATATAAGTCATTTTAAATTTTAAGAAGAGAGGAGAGCCGATTGAGCATGATGGAAAAGTATAAAATTTGAGACAAAAGATGTTTAGCCACACTGTTGTTTGGATCTGCATTGTCGAGATTCGTGATATAAATTGAAATTCTAACCCTTACTTCTTCTAGAGGACGGTCCACTGAAGCAAGGGGGCTGGGCATGTATTGATTCCCTAAAATCCTAATATCATTTGTAACTTCTACTTCACAGCCTGCAGAGATTCGCAGCAGATTTACTGCACGTTAAGATTTACCCTTTGACATCCAATGGCCAATGCAGCTACCAAAGCATCCGCAGCAGAGCTCTGCGTTGATGCAGTTGCACCCATGAATGGACCAGACCAGAGAAGCCCCAATTGATTGCCAGAACCGCGATCATTGAGCCATATACTGTTGGCATTTTCGTTGATGAATGTCTTGAATCGATTGTTGGGAATCGCCAATTGCAATTTCTGAAGATTGCGCATGAAGATTCCTTTGAACTGAGGACCATCAGCTCCACAATTGGGCTCGCATGGATCGCGGAGAATTCCATTAGGATCACTCAGAAACTTGATACCGGCGAGGGCAATTCGCTCGGCCATGATAAGATGGGTTTTGTTAGGGGCTGCCGTGTAAAGCTCCAATAGCCCACCGAGTATGACACCTTGATTGTATGACCATACGATACCATTGTCGTTTCGACACGTTACGAGGTTGATCCCGTTGTTAATGTTGTAGTGTGCATTGATCATGCCGGTGCGCTGGAACCAGTCCCACTCCTTCCACGCCCAGTAAAGATAATATTTCTTATTCGACGCTCTGTTGGCAAGCTGAGCAGCCACTGTCAGGAACAGCGCATTCTCAATTGCACCTTTGTATGAGTGCTGCTTGTTCCACCATAGACCTCCACAAGTGCCACCCCAGCCTTTCCTCATGTCCTCGAAGATGTCAATAGCAGCCTGAAGGTACTGTTGCTGCTTCGTAAGATCGTAAACTTGGAGCCAAGCAAGCCCCCACCAACCTTCATCATCATAGAAGTCATTGAGAAACCCGGCAAAGCCGTTTTTAGGGGGAATGATCCAAGGCGGGAACTTTGGTCCTGTGTATGTAGTCACAGAGTACGGTGTCATGACTTTGATGGTCTCGAGACTTGTCTTTTGAGCCTGTGAAAAAGTGTTCTGAAATACATGCCCAGCAACAACGTCGAGTGATGAGTCGACCCCAGCAAAATCGGCAAGCATCGTCAAGGCATTCGCACTGTTCCACCATCCTGTCGTTTCCCACAGGCCGGTGGTCTCGTTGTACCATTGCTTAATATAAGGCTTAATATTATCTGAATAAGTGCTAATATTTGGCTTATAAAGTTCGCTACTTGAACTATAGAGGCGTAGCGTAGTTTATTAGCATATTCTTATAAGTAATAACCCTCTTTTTACCTTCCTTCTCCTTCGACCTATTATATTCCTCGCTTCTTACTAAATAGCCTATATTCGTAAAGAATATATCGAGCTATCTACTTCGCTTTACACTCGTATTCTTTATTCTCTATATTCGATATCTATCGATTATAAAGAAAGACCTTAAGATCTATTTTTCAATTTTATTTACGTTATTAGCGACGTCTTAGCGCGCTTAACTCTCGAATATAGAAGTTATATTTATTTTAACGATGTTAATTAGATTCTTCTAAGAATACCACCTCGCTTCTTATTAATCTATTCGATAATTTATTATTTTATCGCGTAATCTCTAATAGCTATCTTAATTATCGATATTATTCTTATCTATATAATTAATAATTAGACTATTTCGTTAATATTTATCTTTACTCTTTTATTATAAACTACTCGCTCTCGCTAGTTAATAGTCTTCTTCGCCTTTCTATTCGTCTATTTATTATCATTAATATCGATATACATCGAAATCTAATATAATTCTATTACTATCTCGAGATATCTTAACGAATTAATAATCTATACTATCTATATTATATAGATCTATTTTAAATACTTATTTAAATCTTTAATAGTCTAAATCGATATTTAATTATTTGTATTTACTATAACTCTACTAAGTTATAATCTTATTTAATATATAATTACTATAATTAGAGCTTAAAGAATATTATATAACTTCGTTAAGTATATTATATATTAGTCGCTTAAGTCTAAATAGATATTAAAAGTAGAATTAATATCTAACGATATAGCTAAAGCTCTCACCTTTTTATTAATCCCGCTATCGTCTATATATATTATTATATAACTCTTATTAATCGATCTTTTAGCTAGTTCTTTAACGACTTTCTTAATCTTATAAATTATTATTTTAAAAGACTCTTAATTAAGGGCGGCGCTAAAAAGGCGTAGTTTCTTAATCTTATTAATATCGTTATATTATTCTTTGAATCTATTAATATATCGCTTTAGTAAACTTAGTTTTCTATTCTTCTTAGATTTTCTTTTAAACTTTTATCGCTTAAATCGTAACTTAATAATCTCGCTATATATTAAACTAATAGCGATTTATAAGATAGCTTTCGAGATAATCTTATCTAGCTATTATTTAACTAATAGAAAATACGCTTTTATATCGAATACTAAAATAAATATAGCCTTAAATACTTTAATTATCTTTCTCTCTATCTAAGATTAAATCCTTTATAACGATAAGAGATAAGTTTTATTATAGTCGAATAGTATTTTTAAGCTAATATTATATTAAGTAGTAATACGTTATTTATAGAATAATTACCGCCTAATAGAGCTATCTTATACTCTTATAATTATTACCCTACGTCGATTCGATAATTCTTACTAATATATCGATACTTTTAATAGTCTTAAATCGAATCTTCTTATTATAATAACTCTATAGAAGTTTAAAATTAATTTCGACTTCTAAATAGCGAATAAAGCGTCTCGCCTTAATATATTATCTCTTATTAAATTATAGAAAATAATCTAAGCTAAATCTCTATTTTCTATTAAAATATAATAGTTAATATTTACTAAGATTAAACTTCGATTCGTATCATAACGCTTACTTTATATAAACTTCGTCGTAGATTTTATAAAGAGCGTTATAGTTTTCCTCGATAGAGTCTTCTATTATTAAAAGATCTATATCGTTTATAAAGTCGATAACTATCGTTTCTAAGTCGGCGCGACTATTATATTTATCGATAAGATCTAAATTATAGAAGAGATAAAATATAAACGATAGCGGTAATTCTTAAAGAATTTCGATTACTATAAGAGTCTTTAATATAAAGTATTCGCTTATTTTTAATATTATTATTCTATTAAATAAGAACGATTCTATCTAATTAACTACTCTTATATTAATTTTTCGCTTTCGAAGATTATAAAGTAATCGAGGATAAGAGACTTTATTATATATATCTAAAACGTCTAATAGTAATATCGTAGCTACTTTATTAGAGTTTTAGATTTAATATATTCTTTCTAGAAGATAGTAAATATCGTATTTATATAATCGTAATCTACGGCCTCTTATATATATAATCGATAGAAGTTTATATATCTTTATAAGATATACTATTCTTTTAGTAAGAATAAACTTTATTATCTTTTCTATAGTATTAAGTAGAGCTATTAATCGATATTCTTTAGAAATCGAATAATCCTTACCCGGCTTCGAAAGAATAATTATTATTAATATTCTAAAGTGCTCTAAATAGTAGTCGTTCGTTATATATATATTAAATATTCTATATAGATAAGAGAGTAATAACTTTAGAATCTTTTTAAGAATTAGATTAAGAATCGCGTTTTTCTCTAAGGCTCTCTTCAACGATATTTACGTTATAGCCTTTTTTATCTTATTTACGATAATTATATCTATTAGATAGACTTATAAATATATTATATCGACGTTAATATTATTTAACTTCGTCTATATTAATAATAAAAAGAATATTCTTATAAGAAGATCTACCTTTAAGCCTAATTTATTATATTCTTATTTATCTTTATTAAATAGCGAAGGGAGATATATCTATATTATAAGTTGTTTTCTAACTTACTTAATCTTTTTCTATATTATTTATAGCGACTTATACGCCTCTATTATAAACTCTCTAAATACCTTTCTAATAGTTCTCTTAATTAGATTATTTTTGAAGTTCTTAGCGACTTTATACTTATTTTATACTTTCTTTAAAAGCGTTATTCTTTAACTTCTTTTTAGCGATTTATAATGTCTTTATACTTTCTTATATTCTAATATAAATTTCAATCTAAATTATAGCGATAATCTAATAATCGAAGTAAACTTCTTTATAATCGCTTAAATAGAGTTAATAATAGTTATTATTTAATAATCGATATTATTATTAATAAGATTTTTATTATTTCTCGAGAAATTAACTAGATACTCTTTCGATATTATAGCTCTAGCGAGTATCTCTCTTAAAACCTCGGCGTTTAGTTTATTAAAGTTTCGATATATTATTAATACTAACTCTATTACGGCTAGTTTAAGCTTTATAAAAATTAAAAGATAATTAAATTCGCTTTCGAAATTATTTTCGATATTATAGTTAATAATATTTATTATTAATACTAAAGTAGCGAATAGTAGATTTATTATTATTTAATAGTTTTCTTTATATATTATTATTTCTACTAGCAATACTTATTTTATAATAAATTCTTTCGCTATAAATATTAATTCTTCTACTCTCTCATCGATATAAGTATTTAATTTCCTCTATATTATATAATAAAGATTAAAGTCGCCTAGTATAATCTATTCGTTATTCTTAGACTTTATAAGCGTCTTATATAATTCGTTAAGTTCATCTATTTATTAGTCGTCGAGGTTATAAATATTATATATATATATAATTCTATTATTTTCGAACTTAATATTAAGAGTATAGAGGTTTGATAAGTAATATAATAAATATTATTACTTTAATAATATTCTCTTATTAATATAGAAGTATACTTATATATTATTATAATAGAGGTAGATTAAATTAAATCTATTCTTTAGAGAATAATACGATATATTTATATTAATATTTCTCTAGAGCTTCTAAATTACTACTATATCGATATTATAGATCTTTTTATTATCGAAGAGTTCTATTATAATTATTCTAAATTTTCTTATATTATATTATAGTATTAATAGCTAACTAAGATATACTATTATTTCTTGATATTATTATTAATATTACTTACTCGCTTCGCCTAGTTTATAGAGTTTATATTCTCTTTCTAAGTATTCTTCTTTTCTTAATCGTCGATAAATCGAATATATCTCTTTTTATTTCTATTAACGAGAATCGTAATTCTCTTATTACTACTCTTTTAACTTAGAGACTATCTAGCGTCCTCGAAGTTATTAATTTCCCTTATCGCTATATTATTCTTATATTATTTAACTTCGTCTACTACTTTAAAGAGCGATCTATTTCTAGATAAGGCCCTTATTAATAATATAAAAGTATATCTTCTTTTACTCGACTAAAGATTCGATATAATAATTCTTTCGAGGTTTAATCCTCTAATTCCTTTTCTACTAATTATTCTCCCTCTATCTACTAGCCTATCGCGCGTAAATATTAACCTTAAAAAAAATTCCTTATTTCGCCTATAATTAAACGTATTCTAAAAGTAGTTATTTAATTAATCGCTTATTTAATAGCTAATCGATACTTCCTTCGTTATTATAAATCGTAAAGAAGTTTATTATCTCGCTATTCTTATTCTCGCTATCTCTCTCTTCTTTATTATATATATCTTATTTTAAGCCTTATATAATCCCTCGTAAACCGAATATTTACGAGTATCGACGTATATAATCTTTTATAATAATACTCTTCTAAGTATTTCCCGTATACTAAGTAATTCTTTTTAGAATATATAGTCGATAGATAATCGTATTTCTAATATACGAAGTATTACTTTAATCTATACTACTTATTATAGACGTAATAGCTATATAGTTTCGAATCGATAACTAGGCCTTCTTCTAATACTCTATTTTCTTTCTCTAGAAATATTAATTCGATAATTAATAAACTCTTATTATAACTCTCTTTATTCGCGCCGAATTAGTCTAGCTATACTATATCGAGGCTTAGCGTATTAATATTCTTATTCTAAACCCTTTTAATTACTATAGCTATATCTTTAATATCGAATATATTAATTCTTACTTTATAAAGTAAAAGGCTATACATTTTAATAATTACTCTCGCGCTACCACTTATCTTTAAAGTTTAATTCTTACTTTTTCTTAGTCTATTCGCCTTCTTCTTATTTATAGCTATAATATATATATTATTACTCGCTAGCCTTCTAATCGTTCTAATAGATTTTCTTATAGTATTTATACTCTTTATATATTTATTAACTATCGTAATTATCTCGCTCGATATCTTCCCCTTTAATACTTTACTTACTATCTTATCTTATAGCTTTATAATAATCTCATTTAGCTTATTATATAATACTTAATCTTATTTCGATATTACTAATAATATAATAAAGATTTCTTCGATAATAAAGAAGAATATCAAGAATCGGCTCTAGTACGCTAACGTAGCTAGCCATCGATATATTACTATTAACTAATCTAATACTTAATATACATAATCTTTTCTTTATATTACTATCTCGATTACTTAAGTTAATAACTAGTTTATATAGCTTCATTTAAGACTATCTAGATTTTAAGATTTGCGACTTGTCTTTCCTAGTGCAACATCTCAAGTTTGCTGCTATCTTCTGCTAAAGCTTACCACAGCACACCAAGAGTCCTCATGTCTCCTCCCAAAGTCGCCATCATCGGCGCAGGTCCCGCCGGAAGCACCCTCGCCCGTCTCCTCATACGCGCCTCCATCCCCGTTACCATCTTCGAGGGGGAATCCTCCATGTCCGTTAGGGCGCAGGGGGGGACACTAGACCTGCATACAGGCACTGGGCTCAAAGCCTTGAAAGAAGCGGGCCTAATCGAAGAATACGCACAGTACGCTCGCTACGACGGCGAAGCGATCAACCTGGCGGACAAGAATTTAGTCAGCCTGATCAAAGTTGGTGGCACAACGGAGGCTTCGAGTTGGGGAAGACCAGAGATTGATAGAGCTCGGCTCCGTCAGATCTTGGTGGATTCGTTACCTGAGGGAACAATACGGTGGCATTGCCGGCTACGGAGCGTAGACGCGAATACCCTATCCCTGCACTTCGACCATGGAGTCGAGACGGGGTTCGATCTCCTCATTGGTGCAGATGGTGCCTGGAGCAAAGTACGGCCCGTACTCACGGATGTGGAACCATACTTCGTTGGGCTGGGCGGATACGACCTCTTCATCCATGATGCCGAAAAGAGCCACCCAGACCTCTACAAGCTTGTCAATCGTGGTTCCTTGTTCGTATTTTCTGATGGCAAGGGTCTGAATGCCCAGCAAAGAGGCGACGGAACAATCATTGTCTATGCGTCGGGCCATAGGGACGAGGATTGGAGAAAGACCTGCGGATACGATTTACACAATGCGAGCGAGGTGAAGAAGGCAATTAGAGAAGAATTCAAGGATTGGGCGGAACCGCTGGTGAAGCTCACTCAGGTGGCAGACGAAAGTGACTTCACCGCTCGCTCTCTATACATTTTGCCTCCTGGACATCGATGGAAGCATAGAGCAAAGGTGACCCTCATCGGAGATGCAGCGCACCTGATGACGCCACATGCAGGCGAGGGAGTCAATGTTGCGATGGAAGACGCTCTGAATCTAGCACAGGCTATCATTCGTAGCGTCGAAATTGAAGACGCCGTTGATGCATTGGATAAGGAGATTAGCGCCTTCGAAGACGAAATGATGACAAGGGCAACAAGAGTGCAGAATCATTCATTCGCCAATACCAAAGACATGTACTTCACTCCTGGAGCGCCCCATACGGTGATAGACAATTGGGTGAGGCGGGCGATGGCTCAGCAGCTAGGGTGGGTCGTCGAGCTTGTACTTCCGCTCTGGATTGTTGGAATCATCAGACGGGGCTTCTCTTGGTGGTACAGAGTGGACTGAGGAGGGGCGGGAGGAGAGGAAATGTTTGAAATCAGTCTGAACGGAGTGGAACCGTCAAACGCTAGTGCAACACAGCTAAAGTTCACAGGTAAGCAAGATCTCACGGGCTCTCGTAGTCTTATTTTGCTGGTCTCCGCACCTGGCTGCCAGCTGTCAGATTATCACATGCATGAAGTTGTATAAGAGTACATAGGTTTCGGGTAAGCATTCTTCTCCTCTAGCCAACCTGCACTATTTACTTTGTCACGAAGACGGTCATTGACTGAAGGAGTCATCTGGAAAGGTTCTGTAGCAACTTGGTGAAGAACACGTGCCCTCATTGCTATCAAATCAGTCGGAGATATAGTCTTCCTAGCTTTTAGCTTATGTTTCCATAGTAGTGTTTGCTGTGCAGGGTTGCGACGTTCACGAATTGCACTGGTCGGAAGGCTCAACAGTTGCTCTGCAATCTCTATACAAAGAAGTTGACCTCGGTTGTTTCTAATACCAACCCTGAAAACACTCCAATGAACGCCTTTCGCGTGTATAGCAAATGATTACATACACAAGATGTTGTTTATGCCTTGCAGCTTAATACTCTCTATAAACTCTGGCAGCAGAATCCCATCCGACGTCCTATATTCTGAGCGTCGACCAACTCCAGAAGCCCTTGGGGAACCATTTCACAGCTCGTCTCGCGATGCGGCGACTTCGGGATTCGAGATGACCTTCTGGTTGATCGCAACTCTCTCTCCGGGCACCGCCCCAGCGAACGGCCCCGTCGTCAGCGAAAACGCCTCAGCGAATTCCCAGGATATCTGGATTCTGCCTACACTGGGATCGGCCAGCTGGTTAAAAGCGGCGGGACTGAGATCGAGATCGTATTGCCCCTGGCATCCGGGACATGTGTCGACGATGGTCACGGTGACGGTGGTTGAGGGGTTCGCGTTGTTCCAGACATTCACTTTGTAGCCGCAGAGTGGGTTGTTGTTGGGATTGCCGGGGTTGTAGGCTTGCATTGAGACCTCGGCCAGTGCGGCGACCAGGTCAGTATCTTGGTATTGTTGGCCGCATGAGCCGAGGCCGACGCTGGGGGAGTAGAATGTGCCGTCGCCTGTGTACACGGTTTGCGCTTGGGTTGTGAAGGAGCAAATGGAGAGAAGGGTCCAGGTCAGAATGGAGGAGTGGCGAGGCATGGCTGATGTTCTTGGATGGGATCGCGTTGCGGAAAGGAAAGGTAAGCGTCTACAAGTTGCAGTGTTTAGTTGAGAATGTGAAAATGATGATGTCTGCGCGAACCCTTGACTTTAGTATTCATCCCGCCATAGATGGATGGGCATTTCGCAAGGCGGAGCTTTTGCGCAGGGCTAAAGTTAGGACAGGATTCTGATTTGATGACCGCAGACCCAGCTGACAGGATCTCTTGAAACGCGAGAATCCTGCGAGATGCAGTTTGACAGCACTGAGCCATTGTAAAGGCGGTCAACCAAATACAGCTACGAAAGAAAGGCTCAGCCCGTGGTAGCTTGCGGCTGTGCTAAAGACAATTAGACCGCGGTTAGTGTGGCATTACTGGTGGACCAAAGGATCTTTCCCGTACTTTCTAATGGCTCTACTGAAAATCATGTACTTCTATTTTCGTACGAATACGCTTCAAGTCATACCGTCTGCGGCAGAGAACCAACCTAGGAGTCGCATTCACATGCCTTCTTCTTCGGGAGGCTCGGCTGAGTCGCGTAGCCCACACATACAGAAAGAGTCCTTCCACGCAATCCTCCAATAAGAAACCTTAATCTCAAGATCCCGAGGAGCACAAGGAAATCGGTAACATTGACCACACGCTGTTCGTGTTGAGTGGAGTGAGCACGCCCATGGCGTGCGGGTGGTAGGACTACCCATGGCTGCTCTATTCGTCAGGCTCATTTCTACAACTAGCGGCTTTGCGGGTTCTTAGATCTGAATTTCATTGCTATGCTAAAAAGAGTGCTCCACTTCTGGGGCTCTTTCCTCACAAGCTCAGATCCTGCTCATGTATTGGGTACGAACACTCATGGCTGTGTTGGGCCTACAGGTATCAAGGAAATGTCCACTTTTACGAATGACGCCTTTGAATCGCATCTTCCGTTTGAGGAAATCTCCGTCTGTGACACAAAGGACCATGGCTACAATGCCTGGGACCACTTGTTTACCCGTGAGTTCAGGTTCGACAAAGGCGTTACGCCCCGGCACTGTACTAGACTACCTGGAAATCATAGCTAACGCTTGCGAATTTTCACCGTACAATGTCTCACAGGACGCGAAAGCGCGTTATAAATTCTAGGTGAAGGGACAGCCATACCCTATTCAGGACATGCGGGCACAAGATGTTTTTGCCAAAGATCTCGTTGGTGGCACTGTCTACCAAGCCTTCTTGGGCGCTCTCAGCTATCATCGCTGGTAGAATCGTTAAGACGTTTGTCAATGGCGGTACACACCACTCGGAACCGCTCTTCGCAACGCTTGTGGATCCTCTCGGAGCAAATAACGGCGAGGAGGGCACTGGAAAGGGCTATAACACCGCCAAAGATACCAGGGCGATGATGTTCATTGACCCAGACAAGGAGGATAGTGGACTGATGACTCTGCTGCTGCTGGTAATGCAGGAGGTCTCGACAAAATCTGTCTAAGTGATGGTAGCGAGAGCTTTACGAATTTGCCCGGTTAGAGCGACCCAGAGCGCTATTGAGATCCCTAAGGCTCAATGGCATCTTTCTCACAATCTGCTTTCAAGGGCAAAACAGTACTCTAAAACCCGTCTTAATGTACACAAAGAGTCCTGACTGAAGCCGGTTAGTTTTAGCTTATGTAACCTGCAGTCTTGTGGTGTATGGAAGTCGACAAGCTAAGCCAATCAATTTTCTTGCTAGGACCCCTCTTAAATCTGTCATCTGCAGGGAAAGTGCCGAAGGAACAAGGCTGCAAGGTACCGGGAATGCTCTTTCGAACGACCGTTCCCTAGCTTTTCCTCCACTACAGCTATAAGAGTATGACCGCTCAACCCTCAATTGTATAGTCGCCAGTCGATGGAGCTGTTAAGCATTACTGCAAGCGTTGTTGCAGTTCTACAAGCCACGGAAGCGGTGATCTCCGTGTGTTGCGATTACCGATCTTCCGTCAAGGCTCTAGCTGGGAGGTCCCACGAGTATTGGAAGAAGCCTGCGGCCTTCGAAATGTCCTACGGAACCTCGAGGAGCTCGCAGACAAGGCCGAAACACCGGGCTCGACTGACGTATCTTGCCTGCCAGCCTTGAAATCACTATCCGATCCAAACACGGGAAGTCTAAGCAAATGCTGTACTAAGTTGGTAAAATTGAAGAAGAAGCTCACCCCGTCAGGATGGAGTGGTCCCGCTGGCTCGAAGCGGAGAGGATTGGTAGAGGTATTTCGTTGGCCGTTGAAGGAGGAAAATACGGACAAGGTCCTTGTTAGCATCGGCAGTTTCAAGAGCCCAATTAACCTAGCTATTGCAGCGGACCAGACGTAGGTTTACGCGGTCTCTTGCAGAAACCTCAAGACGTCTAATAATTTTCCGAGCTGACGTTAGTATCAGGACATCAGTTTAAGCTATAAAAGACAATACACAAAGTATACAGGCATCTCTTTTGTTAATGACACTCGGGAAGTTTACAAGCGTGTACACTGGGTATATTTCCCTTACTGAATCCTCCAGGTGCTCACCAGCAGAAAGCTCAGAGGTGGCTTCGTACTGCGGATCTATCCCCGAAATACATCAAAGCATTTCCAGACAGGTAAGCAGGGACTGGTTCATGGTTGATTGATAGCGATGTGTTCAAAAATTGGATACGGGAGCCAGATTCTCTTCTCTGGCTTCATGGTATACCTAGGTGGGTGCGGAAAAACAGTCCTTTGCTCAACAGCCATTGAAAGGATTCTGGACTCCATCGCAATACAGCTGCTGAGGGGGCGATGGCCGTAGGATATTCTTATTTTGAGTTCGACGATCGGGAGAAGCAACGCTGCGAGACGATGTTACGGTCACTGATTGCTCAATGATCACTGCAAGGCCGTGAAGCTCACAAACCATTGGACAAATTGTACTCAGATTGTGGCAGAGGTGCATCAGAACCATCATCGCCCATGCTATCGAACACCCTCAGAAACACTGTGAAAAGCTTCACGGACGTTTTCATTAGTCTCGATGCGTCGGATGAATGCAAGGAAAGTGACGATCTGGCAACGAATATTGGCGAAATGGCTGGGTGGGACATTGTGCGCCTGCATACGCTGGTCACAAGCTGGCAGGAGAAAGACATAGAAGAATTACTGTCTACAGTCCTTGATGATAAGTACAAAGTCTGTATAGAAAGGGCGTTAGTCGAACGCGACATTCGGGTAAACGTTCAAAGCCGGATCCGCACGGATCGGAAGTTGAAAAAATGGCAAGTGCCAGAAGTGCAGGCTGAAATCGAAATGGTCTTGATGGAAAAGGTTGGCGACATGTGAGTCTCCACTCATTATGGTTTCATCTTCTTCAATACCATCGCTAAGCATGTCCACCAGGTTCCAATGAGTCAAATGCCAGCTCAATGCGCTGGGGTGTTGTCTGAGCCTGGCCGATCTTTGCATAGCTTTGCAATCTCTCCCAAAAGATCTAGATGATACGGACGCACGAACACTGAAAGCCATCGACAATGAAGGGTATGGTGAGCATGTTGCGAAGATCATGCAGTGGCTGGCGTATTCAACGCGGCGTATCTCCCTCACGGAAATCGCTTCATAGCTGAAAGTTGCCTCGTCTATCTTCCTCAACTTGATCGACTTCAGACCAGCTTGAAAAATTATTCTGACGTCAAGGTCAGTGAAAGGTATTCATTAGCCGGATATACAGAAAGGAAGTCGTATAAACATGCTACGAGTGTATTTCGGTTTAGGCCTCGGGGGTGAAGTTGACGAATGTTGGAAGAGGGCATTGTGGTGGCGAGATTGCTGTCCGTGTTGGACAGAGTTGAAGCGTAGGTGAAGAGAAGCAACGCCAATAGAAGGGGTAGGTGTAGAATACTGGGTAAGTGCATGGCGTACGCGGGACTGGAAGTTTCGATTAGGCGCGACTAATAGGTTTTTTATATTCTTGATCTCGCTTTCAAAGACGATCTGGCTAGAGTCATCCACAATACCTCAGCCAATGCTAAATAAAATACCGTTAGCATAGTTTCAGGGTGGCTGCGCTATATTTGTATGGGCGCCACACCAAAATAAGGCGCGACGTCGCCGAGACATCGTTGTCGTCGTCAGCGACCTCGCTGTCACTTGCAATGGGGCGGGGAATAGGGCGGGGAAGGCTTTTAGGCTAGCCATCGCAGTCCGCCTGCATTGCTACCTGTCAGGGCGGAATTTGTATAAGGGATGTAGCGGAGTTGGCAGTCTACTATGGGGGTTTTAAGGGATACCTCGCTGTCGACTATAGAGGGTTTAGGGGTTCTCATGAATTAGATTTTATTGGGGGCTATCTACTCCGTATCCTTTATATGATACCCCCGGAGAGGCATCTCTAATCTAGCTATATTATATCTATTATTAGCGAGCTTCTTTAGGGCCTCTTAGATACCTCTACTATCGAATAGAGCCCGTTATTTAATATAATATAGTTATTTATTAAGCGGAAACTCGCTCTCTTATACGTTATTCTCTTAGTTTATAATACCTCGCTTTTAATTTATAGAACTTCGTCTTAATCTTATCGAGTATCTCGCGAACGTTTAATATATACTTATTAGGATCGTTAGAGTTTATCGTAGATATTCTTAATAATGTATTTCTTAGTAATACTCTTATAGATCTTAAAGTCTCCCTCTTTAAATATATAGATCTATCTCTTTTAATTAGCGTTTATAAAGGTATTATTTATAAAATTAAACTATTAGAGATAAAAGTATAATAGTTAATATTATCGATAGAAGACGTAAATATATAAGAGTTCGTTATTTAAACTCCGCGGGATTTCGCCTTCGTTTTAAACTTTTATAGCTTTCTTTAGCTATTTTACTATAAGTTACTATATAAAGACTAGGGAATTTAATTAATTATAAATATAATTAATACTTAGCGAACTAATAGAATCTAAATTTAATAGCTATCTCTTTCTTTACGAAGCTCTTATTAATTAATAATCTTAAGAGTATATAATATTACTTTAAAAAGACTAAATCTAAATATAGTACTCTTACTCTAAGTATAAATCTTAAGAAAATAATATTAAGACTTAATTAAATTAATAGTTATTATTTATAATAGTAGATAAGAATACTAACGCGTATAATAAGTCTAGAGCTTTCTAATACTTAGCTATTACTTTCGAATATAGTTCTTTTTAAAATTAGAGGCCTTATAAATAGCGGCGTTAATATCGTTTATATAGTCTTACTTCGAGAATCGATAGTAGAGGGCTTTATAGAGGTGCTCGAAGGATTTCTTATAGTTATCGGCCCTTAGCTCTTATTTTAAAGTTCGTTCGCTATACTTTCGATAGAGAAAGTAATCTATCTATTACTTATCTTTCTTAAAACCTCGAAATACTAATTAAACGACCTTTTATTTAGCTATAGAGTTATTAATAATTATATAGCGAAGACGTTAAGTATCTAATTCTCTATATTATTTCTTAATTTTTCGAAGAAACTCGCTTATAATATTATTATTTTTAATTAATAAAAGTAAATAAATATAGAAAATCTATTTATTATACTCGCTACGGGCTATAATCGTAAATAGCTTTTATTTAAAAGTATTAAAGTTATAAATAGAGTCTATAAAGAGAAGATAGTCTCGCCGTCGAAGAAATATTAATCGAGCTTTAGCCGATTAGCCTCTACAGAATTATTATTCGATCTTAGACTTATATTTCTTCGTAAATATCGTATTATAAATCGTCTTATTATCGATATCCCTCTTAATTATAATATTTATATATCTTATACTCTTTTTTAACTTTAGATTTATTATATAGTTAGCTTACTACTATAGCTAAAGCGCTTTAACTTTCTAAACTCGTTTATTAGAGTTAGTCTTTCTTTATTTAACTCTTATATTATAATAATATTTAAGATTAAGATATTTATCTTTAATAGCCTCTAAAGTAATTAGATTATTAATTTATTTAACGCTCTTAATATTATTATAAATTAAGATAATCTTTTAGCCCGCTATAACTACTAAATTAACGATATTTATAATAAATAAGTTAATCTTATATTAATTAACGTAATTCGATTTATAATTATAATACTAGTAAAGGCTTTTCTTATTTAAATAAAGCGAGATCTCGACTAATAATAAGATATAAATATTCGATAAACTAAAGGTTTTTACTATTTTAAGCTTTATATTATAAGAAGAGATGCGTCGAATTTACTTATTTCGTTAGCTATAAATCTCGCTAACGATTTTCTCTTTATATAAATAATATTATTAATAGAATATCTAAGTACCTTTTCTTTAGTAATCGCGTTATTAAGCTTATTATATATATTTAGAAATTATCTATTAAAGATTAATACGCGTTAAATTCTTTAGCTATTTAGTAAATAGATATATCTAATAAGAAAGTAGCTTAACGCGTTTTTAGAATATAAAAGAGTAACTTTAATATTATTAACGCTAGCTTCGAGGGTATTACTAAAATAAACTTATTACGCTTATTATCCTTTTAGAAGTATTCTTTTTATTCGTTTAAAGAGATAAACGTTTTATATTTATAAGAGAAGAGGGAGATAGAGGGCTTTAAGGGGGTAGACGATAACCTAAACGCGTTAGAATAGATAAACTTACTTTATTCGCTATCGCTAAAACTATTATCTTCTTTCTTAAATAATAAAAACTTATTTAAATACTCTACTTTCGAGGTATAATCTCGATTAATATTCTCGAAGTTATTATTATACTAATCGAGCTTTTTCTAAATATTCTTAAAGTCCCTATACTATAGGGGCTGGCGCACGAGACGAGAGTACGATATTAAGACTATTAAGAATAATATACGCGAAGATTTAACGATAGCGAGGTATAAGAGAGATAAAAGGATAGAGGGTAACGATAGCGAGGTATGGGGAAGACGGTAAGATCAGCCAGGACGTATCCCCTATTTACTATTACAATCTCTTACTAATTAGAGGAATATAGCTAGGTCGGCCTAATGGCTCTCCGGTACTGTCCGGTACTGGAGGGAAGGCTGATAGTATAATTATCATTGGACATCAGCTCTTGTTGGCCGGCAAAGTCTTCTGTTGTCATCGACAGAGTCGCCATGTTTTTTCAAACACGACAATGTGCGAAGGCGGAGTCTTTCCTACGCAAATCGGCATATACTGTAAAAGTCTGCACACCGGAAAGAAGGTGCAAGAAGAAGCACTTGTTGTTCGTGGCAAAATCCCATCTTTTCATTCCGACCATACATGGAACACAATGCATATAGAAGAGAAATACAACAGCACCCGTTCTTTCTCGGCTTCTCCAAAGTCTTACATTACAGCCACAATGTGGTAGTTCAAGAGTCTGTTGATCTGACTTCAATCCGACAACATGGGGGATCTCATGTCGAGGAATCGAATGATCCAGGTGCACTATGACGTCCCGCACTCTTGTTGTATGTCATGGTGGAAAGTAGAAAGCGTCGTACAATGGACACACACCTCCTCGACCCAAATGGTGACCTCCATCGGACCGACAAAGGGAGCCACTCGATAGGGCGTTTGCCACTTATGTTATCGACTCATCATTTGGATGCTTAAGAAAATGGTTGTAACCCTCCAGTTTCATCCAGAAACATACGACTGTCCCCTTGATTGACGGTCAGGCCAAGGTATCGGCCTGCAAGATAATGCTTTGTGATACCCATCCATTCAGCGTCAGCATCTTTGCAAACGTTCTCTTCTTAACTTTGGGTCTCGCCAGCAGTGTGTCTTTCGACGCCGCCGTGAGTGCCAACGTCCCCTTTGGTCACCATGCGTCCAATTGATCGTTCGCAGTACGATGGCTTAGCTACAGTTCCTGGAGAGGCTCTCGTTACGCTCGTGGGAATCTACAAGAGGACTTCCTATGAGAAGCCTGATGTCGCCTCACTTGCCATCTCCAACGAGTCTGCTTCCAGCGTTATCCCTCACTCGGACCCGCACGTTTCTCTGGCATTCAACTCTGGCTAAACGCCACCCACTTTGATTGCTCTGCTCCCAGAGTCCACGACCAAGTCTTTTTCGCTCACTGGCTTCTATTACAGCTGCGTTGCACAAGGTGGCCAAGACGCTGTCTCAGCTGCCGTAGCTTGCAACATCACGGTGACTGGGTACAAGGCGGGCTCGTCGTCACCGTATACGACTCAGAATTTCCAATTTACCTCCGAGGAGCCTGTGGATGTTATGAGCCCTCTGGCATTCGGCACATTCTTGGTGAAGTTTCAGAATCTACAAGATGTCACTTTGGCTGTCGAGCCTCCTTTGCTCACTAGTGCGCATGGCTCTTGCTTGACAAAGACCGAAGAGAATGATGATGTTCGTTTCTAAAGTGAGGCTGTGGCCGAAGTACAGGCGGCGCGCATGGTTTTGGGGAGGACACCCGCCTGTCTACTCAAATTTGTGTCTTCGAAGAGAGCAGCAGTGCCAATCTTCTTTGGGTCTGATGGTTCGCAACACGGTGGCAGAGCGCTCAAAATGAGACTTGGCGTTCTGTCATCAAAGACGTAAGGGTGGTCAAACGTCTAGTGGTGTGTGTCCGTCGTTATCATTTCTCTTCGCAACAGAGCAGGCTCCTCGTCCATGACGGCCTTGAGAGTATTGTGAGGATGTTGTCGGCCCTTATCTACGCTTGTCCGGATATGGATTCCTAGTGGAGGCCAATCTGATTAGTGTTTTGTCTTGCAGGTTGGGCATATTGGACCTTTGCCCTCAGTCCTGAACCATCTAGGAGGAGTCGACATGATTTCGAAGGAAATATGCTGTGTGATATCGATTCGTGATGAGCGCAACTGTTTGCCTTGATCTCGGAATGGAAAGTATCCTTTCTGTCGGAGTCGCCGTTCTCGTACAGCAAGGTTAGAGAACTCGTACAGCTTTCACCTCAGGGGCAAGAAACCGGGAAATGTTTATGCATCAATGGAATGTACCCCACGCTTGGATTCCAGACAGATCAGAACTCACCGGAAATGGGTAGAAATCTCCTGCACTCGTGCTACCGAGAAGTATAAAGTATCGTCTTGGCAGTCCGGCCCGCATGTACCCACCAATTGACTTTTTCACTCAGAGGACCATAATCTGCATCGATTTGCCAAGCAGACAGATTTTTCCGCCCCACGAGTATGCGCACACTTTCAATAAACCTTCCTTAGTTGCCGTCGCACTCGGGCAAGTCAAAGCTTGGAATTTTCCGACTTCCGTTCCTAGGTATCGGACAATATTCTGGAATACCCCTTACGCTCTTTCTCGTTTCATGCTTAGTTGTCTGGATTTCAAGTCGGTTGGAAGGATTGTGGGCGATGTATGGCCCAAGGTGGTGGGCCTGTGACGCGCGTTAGAGCGATGGTAGGGACTAGACCATAAGTGTCTTGTTGTGAGGGGGAGCTTCTAGATAGGTGAGCGGATGACGTTTCAGGCTATGTCAGCCACAAGATTTGTGTGCAACGTTACGTGGAGAGTTGCGCAAGACTGAGTTAATGCTGTCATTTTTTCCTTTTTACAATATTTCGATCCTAGCATGCAATCGCTTCCATAGTGATGATATTAGGCCCACGCATGCAGTTCCGTTCCATCCTACAGTCTTCCAGCTTTCCATCTTACGCGTGAGAATGCGTTTCCTTCCAATCGTACAATGTGTCGCATGCAGTTATCCCCACATCCTACACTTCCCTGCCCGTTTCCCTTAGTTCAACTGCTGCAACTTGCGCTGCCACCGTCCGCACTCAGACCAACTACCTGGTAATTCATGTTGTACATACCAGCTGGACAACTGGAAGAGATGCACTCACCGCCTGTCGCGGTCATGACAACATTGCCCGCTGAGTCCAACAATTGAAGCATCTGTGCCCCGGCTTGCACTCCGGTCGGCGAACCGAAATTCAGCCCCGGATTCACACTCACGGTCGAGATGACAGAACCGTTGCTCGTGAGGCAGGCTTTCATCCCGGATGATCCGGATGGTAGGACGATCGCCCAGGTGAGAGAATCAGTGCCCGTGGACCAGCCGCTGGGTGGCGTCGCCCCGGAGCATGAGGCGTCTTGCAGGATCGTTTTGTACCACATCGATCCTACCGCCGTGGCGCCGGACGGGGGAGCCATGGTGCCGCCGGCTTTGTATGCCTCGATGAATGATGTGACGAGGGGTTGCCAGGCAGCGTGGGGAAAGGCGGCTTGCGGCGAGGAGTACATGACCGATGAATCGGATGATTCGCTCCATACGTTTCCAATGTAGTGACTTTCGGGGCCATCATTCTGATGCTACGTTAGCTGGATTGCGAGTTAGGTGGGCTTTGGGGCGGATTTACCCAGGTGATGATCTCGACGAAATCGAGCTCTGATGCAATGCCAAGGATGTTATTCATGCGAATGGGTAGATTGAGCCCGCCTGCGCGGTACAAGTTGGTACCGTACTGTTTCGTATCGGTCAGCAGCAATTCACAGTCTCTGTTTCGGGCATGTCTTACGGCATCCTTGTACTGGAGAGTGCTCAAAGCTGCGTGTTTGTTAGCGACGCTTACAGGAATGATGGATCTACGAACCGATCATGTAGCTCTTCTGACTAGCCGAGGCGCTGTTGATGAGTGGCATGTCAGGAGAGAGGCTGCCGACGTCGGTGCTACTCCCATCTGCCACCGTTGGCCACGCCGCCTCCCAGCTGAAGACTCCGTCGACCAGGTTGCCCCAATTGGACCACCACTACATTGACATCAATCCGAGACCCGAGGAAAGAACGATTTTGGACGACTCACCTCAGAGGTTGAGTCGTAGTAGCCATCCGTATCATCAAACATAGGAACGAAGTACATTTGGAAGTCAAGGGACACTTTCCATGCTTTGAGTACATCAGTTCCCGTAGTAGGTTCCATGTAGGATGAAGAGACTTACAATGCCAGGCATCGGGGACGACGCCGCCAGATGAGTAGGTCGATATCATGGGCAAACCGTTGGGGCCTAGGTAAGATGCTTCATTGCTTAGGTATTGCGAAAAGATGCTGCTATAGTCGTTCGGCTGAATGCCCGTAGGATCAGGTTAAAGGAAGTCATAAATGCTGTCGATGGTTGGAGAAGCTAACCCCATTGCAGCAGGACCTCCCTGCACTGCATGCTGCACCCGATGCAGACAGATCCATACTGACGAAGAGCTTGAATCCTGTGCCAGACGCATACTCGTACAAGTATTCAAGTGTCGCGCCGACGTAGGACTCGGTTGGATCACCGATGTTCAGGGCGAATCCGTCGAGTCTAATTGGTTGTTAGAAGTCTATCGTAATCCTGATTGATTGGCAGACTTACCCGACTGATATTGCGTTGTCGATGTCTTGTTGCGCATGGTCTTTATCCACAGTACCGATCTTTCAACTGAGGTGAGCATCGTCGTGTACAGCAGTGACGTGGTGAAAGCTACCATGTAATGCGCGAAGACTGCCTTGGCTTGCGCCTTCCCAATCAGGTGCAGCACTGCCGCCGTGGTTGATAGAGCGTTGGAGAGACGCATTTTGTATAGTTGGAGAAAGCTGCAATGGTGATGGAGAGTCAGGTTGTTACACGTTATAGAGAAGACTGGCGAGCTCGATTAAATCCTAGAGCTGGCTCTTGCACACCGACGATCCCACCGGTCTGCTACGGCAGCTTTGTACACCACATGAGTCCGCCCTGATCCGTGAGGTGGTAGAGGCTGACGGCGTCCCTAGAGCCCTCTCTTCTATCATTGGACGGCCGCTCGGTATGCGAAAGGACCAGATGGGAATTTGAATACCTCCCCATTTCTAATATTTAATTTTGAGGGCCATGAGACCCATTTCGCGCTCGGCATTTCATATCCGTGAGCAGCGCCACTAACCACCCTTGACCACGAGACAGGGTGGAATGGAGATGAGTATGAACATCTGCAGAACATGCCACGGACCGTTGTGAGGGCACGAGATCCCGGGCGGGGAATTGAAGGTCTATCTTGCATCTGCAAACTATTGCCACTGATGGTCAGGGCTAGGCTTTGGTACTTGCAGTATGTACAATACAGTGCCCATTAGTTTGAAGAACCATCTTTCCGGTCAAGTTACAGAAGAGAGAGCGAGTCAAGGTCCCTGCTGGCTCCCCAAGGATCAGAGCGCAAGATGTGATACATTCCTCATGAGCGTCCAAGCAAGGAGACGTGGCACTTGGATTGTACATTGCAAGTTTAGCGTGGGGAGCGTGATATCACTAAGCCAATGCTTTGTACAAGGAGAGCAGCTGCCGCCAGAAAACATACTGCCACCCTCCATCGGCTTCGGCTTTCAAGAGCAGTGACACCTGCTGAGAACCCGGAGATACTCGGCGAATTAACGCAAGACTCACCGAGCTGACTGTCAAACATCTCCGTTCGCAGTGCCTTGTTCGAGGGGCAACATGCGGCTCAAGTTCGAGGAACTGACAGACACGCGACGCTTTTTCCCCACCTCCAATATTGATTGACCATGCGGGGAAGGAGCACAAGGCTAGAGCTGTCAAACACCCATCCCACCGCAAGCCAATCAATGTTTTCTTTTGCGCTCAAACAGGCGGAAAACGGCGGTGAAGTGACATTTGCGTCGATGGAGTGAAGTGACGTGGCGGGGAAGAAAGCACAGATGATCCTTTACCTTCCCCGCATTATGCATTTTTTCTTACGATCGCACTAAGCACCCTGCATATTGGTCCTGGCATCCCGCAGAACACCTTAGATTTGCGCCTCAAGGGTTGGCGCGGTTAATTGTCGGGAGGAATCGAGGACTGGAACTTGCTTTGTGAGCTTCCATTTTCTGACATGGAGTATCACAAGACCTGTGTAAGTTTGTTAAATACCTTCCACAAGGAGTTGGCTCCTACGTAGCCCCTGTCGCGCGTCTATTGGTTAAGCGGAAGTGACTTGTTTCAAGTAAATGAAACAAAAACACAACTGTGACCCTTTCGACTGCCGAGAAAAAGCGCGGCTACCGCGAAATCCAATGTCTTCTTTGGTTGCAAGTATATAGATCATACAAAACATAGATCAAAAGCGAGATTCAGTTTGCCAACAACAAAAGATACAGTTGCGTTTGGAATGTCAACCTTTGGGATTATTAAGCTTCAGTAGTCTTTGATGCAGTGTGCTTTGGGCCACTCCACCAGTAGGGAGGTTAGGTCGCCCTACCTTGCGATGGCCCGTGCAATCCCACCAAAGGGCGGACCATTCACTGTACAACAGTGTTATTCCACCGGACGCGGTGCATCGCCGCTGCCAGTTGGTAAGACCTACTTCTGGTACCAGTACGATAAAGTACGGATGGAGATAGGGGCCGTCCCGTCCAACAGGGAGTATTTCTGCGGGTCAGGTGCTTGCTTCAGATCATTTTTGAGCGCACCTGCACTAGGATTTCTGTGCAGCTGTTACAGCAGCCATCGCGGAACATGTGCGCCCCAGGATGAACCAACCTTCACCTTCGCCTTCGACGACCGTCAGACGGCCAAGCTGGCCATTGTGCTCCGCCAGGACATTCTCATCAAGCGATTCTATCTCTAAATCGTCCGTCGGCATATCTGCATTACTCGGTGTGGCACGGCTGACATCAACATTTTACGTCTTGCGAACCCCATGGCACGGAAGCATCCTGCTCTCCAAATTGTCGTCCTCGCCAAGCTCGGACATGTTTGTTGCGTATGGGTCTTTCCACCTCTGATTGCTGGGACCTTTGAAAGCTTTGAGATTAGAATGGAGATAGTTGGTTGGTCGGCTCCACATTCTCTGGCTACTGTTCTTGAGAGTGTCCCTTCACCTCACACAAAACATGTTAAAAGGATGGAGAGTGGGTGAGTAGACTGCGATGATGATCACAGCGGGTTCGATCCCGTGGCTAAGCATGGTCAGCCAGACCATGCAGACTCAACACGCTGGAGATACCATCCTCGCTGTCAAGATGAGAGGATCGCTAGTATGTTGTGAACCACGTGAGATCTTCAACACCGCGAAGAACTTCCCTCGTTTGAAAGTCGTGCATTAATAGATCCCGACTACTGCGGCCCTAGGACGCTTAGCGGATGAAATGCTTGAGCTGCCAGGATTCTCGTGCACAAGACAGCAGAAACTAGAGGGCAAGTGAGACCAATCTTCTTGGCGCTCATATTCAACTTGAAGATAATTGTTGTCGGATAGATCGCAAACACTCGGTCAAGGAAAGCTGAGTATGTAGGGTTCGTCAGTGATACCATTGCTATGTGTCTCCCGCAAGTTACTCACAGCCTGCGAGAACTGAAGACTCAATGAGTACGGAAGATGACCAGCACTTTAGGTTGAGGAGAAGATCCCACAATCCCTGAAGTGGCGTACATTGCGTGAAAAGTAAGATGGCGCATGTAGTCTGCTTCGCAGTATCGCTAACGCTTGGACCATGTAGGATCCACTCGTGCGACCGCGCCGGGTTGAGTAGTCTTGTATATAGGCAGGCCACAGCTAGCTTTGGCAGAGCGACAGAAGTGATGACAAATCAATCCGCAATGACCTCGAGTCAGACAGCCTCCGACGTAGCTGGCAGACCAAGGTAGTACACGTATCTCCCGCACCCTGCGGCTATCGCTGCGGATGCTATGCCGGCGAAGATGAGGCTGAAAAGCTGTCATACCTGTAGATCACTTTGATGCATGCATATTTTCCCCCAAGGACTGACCATGGAAAGCAATATCCAGAAGCCATCCCTTCCGACATTAGTGGTTAAGCATATGCAACCAAAGAGTCATGTGACGACTGGGAAAAGAGGTACTGCTACAAAAGACCAAACAGTGACATTGATGGTGGATCCTAGGCTCTGGTCTCCACCCGCGGGAGGCATCATTATCGCTATTGCGCCAGCACTATGTATGCCTAGCAAGTATCACAGAAGGCTCGTGGTGATGCTGCGACTGACAAGCGGACCACATAAGTCATGGAAGGTGGTCAATGTGAATACCTATGCGAGTTCGAGCGGAGGTCGAGGTTGCTGACACCCACTCGAGCTGACACTCACTCCGCTCGAGTGGGTGCAGAAATGCGTCCGCTAATCCGCGCTGCCCAGTGTGACTAGGAGCCGCAACAGCAATGGCCAGAACTCTCGGAGGCACTCATTGAAAAGGAGAAAAATGTTCTTCAAGGACGTGGATTCTGGCAGAAAAGGAAACAGAACCTGGAATCGGGAATGCCAAAGAAATCAGAAGATTGAGACCTTTCTCGTGGAAAGCAACTGGCGCACCGAGTCGCAGGAGATCAAAGCTGTCACCCTTGCTCTCTGGATAATACGAATAACTGTGCCGTCGGCCAACGTCCGTTGCCATACAAGTAGGTCGTCTAGCACATGACAGCAACGAATCACGACCATATAAAGCACTACCGGTACCCATCAGATTAAATAGACGATGTTGATCAGAAGAGGGTGACGATGTCGACTTTTTCGTGCATGATAGAGTTTGCGACGTGACGTTAGAGAAATAAATGCTTGGATAAGGTGAAAGAAGCAAACAATAATGAATTGGGGTGAGGACGGTGAGTTTCATACCAAGTTTCCATTTCGAGCCGCTCCACGGCAGACCAGACCACTCTTCCACGCTCTACACTCTTCAGTTCCAATTATTAATATAATGTTAGATCTAGAGTACTAATAGATAGACGATATATATTTACTATTCTACTCTCTACTTATTTTAAAATCTTAACGAATCGCTAGATATTCTTAAAATAGACGTTAAGAGATATTCTCTTATTTTATCTATCTATTTTAATAAAAAGAGATCTTATAATCTACTTCTATTCGCTTAAGAATATAAAAGCTATTTAATAATTAAAAAAGTTAAAGTTTAAATAATAAATACGTTAAATTTAATATAATAAAATCTCTTAAATCTTTATTTTATTTTATTTTTATTTTATAATAATATTAAGATTTAAGATTATAAAAGCGAATAAAATATTAAATTTAAGAATATTTTTAATTTTTAATTATTTAATTTACTTTCTTCTTTATATATTACTTTATTTAAAATCTTTTAATAATCTATATTAATAATATTAAAATATACGAGTTATAATTACTTTAATATTTTTTATTTAATAAAAAATTCTATTTATAATAACGCGCGATGTTACTAAAATATATAATATACGACGTTATTATAAATAATAATATTTAATTAAATTTAATCTTACTTTATAAGAAATTAAAATTAATTATTATTATAAATATTTAATTTAATTTAATTTAATTTTATATTATTATTATTATACGAGTAAAGGTTTATAAAGTTAAATTAATTTTAATTTTTTTTTCGAATTTTCTTAATAGCTCTAATTAAAAGAAATAATTATAAATTTAATTTATTTTATATTTATAAATCTAATTATAATTTAAATTTTCTTTATAAAATTTTTTAAAATCTAACTTAATTTCTATTATTTAAATTATTTTATATTATTTAAATATCTTATATAATATAATTATTAATATAAATACTTAATAGTAGATAAAATATAGATTTAAAGATCTTCGAAATCGAATTCGAGATTCGTCTTTATAAAAAAATAAGATTACTATAGCGCGATATTTTCATTTATATACGCTAGAATTTAGCGTTATATATTCGTTTATATACGTTAAAATTTAACGTTATATATTTATTTATATACGTTAAAATTTAACGTTATATATTTATTTATATACGCTAGAATTTAGCGTTATATATTTATTTATATACGCTAAAATTTAGCGTTATATATTCGTTTATATACGCTAGAATTTAATATTATATATTCGTTTATATACGTTAGAATTTAACGTTATATATTCGTTTATATATACTAGAATTTAATATTATATATTCGTTTATATACGTTAAAATTTAATATTATATATTCGTTTATATACGTCGAAATTTAACGTTATATATTTATTTATATACGTTAAAATTTAGCGTTATATATTCGTTTATATATATCGAAATTTAATATTATATATTCGTTTATATACGTTAAAATTTAGCGTTATATATTCGTTTATATACGTTAAAATTTAACGTTATATATTTATTTATATACGTCGAAATTTAACGTTATATATTCGTTTATATACGTCGAAATTTAACGTTATATATTCGTTTATATACGTCGAAATTTAACGTTATATATTTATTTATATATATTAAAATTTAATATTATATAAATCTTATATTATTAATATTAAAATCTATTCTTCTTTATATAAGTTATAATATACTTTCTTTTATATTTACTAGTTATATATATTAAATCTCCGCGTTATATTAATTTAATATATAATATTATTAAGCGTTATAATCTTTTATATATAATTTTAATTTAACTTTACTTAAAATAAATTTAAATAGAAAATTCTATTAAGACTTAATTTTTTAATATATTACTCGATATATAATATTTATACTCTATATATATATAATTCTTAATAAAAATATATAATTACGTAATATAATCTTTTTTAAAAATTTTAATAAAAGTTAAATAAATAGTTAAATAGATTTTTATTAAATTAGAAGTTATAGTATAATAGTTAAAAAGTAAACTTTTAATTTTATTCTATTAAAAAACTTAGTTAACTTAATTATAATAGCGATATTAATATTTAAAAATATTATATATCTTAATAAACGCGTAATATTATATAGAAATTTTTTTATAATATATAATTCTTAGAGTAATTATTATAATACTCGCTAAATCGATAATATAGCGTATTAGAAAAAATATTATAGCCCCGCTAGTTAATTTATTACTTTAATTAAATATTATAATCTTCTTCTAATTTTTTAAATAATTAAACTTATAAGAGTTATTATAGTAATATATATAAATAAATAAGTAAGTAGAATATCGTCGCGATAATATATATAAATAAATAAGCGATTAAATTTATAGAGAGTAGAGTAAAGAGCGAAGTGAAGATAATTTATTCTTTTAAATCTATAATTTCTCTATTTTAATATATACTATATAATAGAATAAATAATAATATTAAGATTTAAGATTATAAAAGCGAATATATTAAATTTAATAATATTCTCGATTTTTAATTATCTAATCTACTTTCTTCTTTATATATTACTTTATTTAAAATCTTTTAATATTCTATAATCGCGACGCTAAAATCTATAGATTATATTTACTTAAATATATTTTATTTAATAATAACTTCTATTTATAATTACGCGCGAAGTTAAATATTTTAATAATCTTTATTATTATAAGTAATATATTTAATTAAATCTAGTTTTACTCTATTAAAAAATTAATATTATCTATTATTATAAATAATATATTTAATTAAATTTAACCTTACGTTATTATTATTATATATAATTTATTTAATTAAATATTATTAATAAGTTATTATTATCTATAAATAATATTTATTTAAATAAAAAAAAAACTCTCTATTACTTTATTCTTAACTATTTTAATATAAAATTTTATCTTTAACTTATATTTATTACGCGCTTACTATATATTTAATTTAATCTTATCTCTTATAAAAGTATAATTTT